CACCCACCCCCACCCACCCCTCAGTCCTGGCCCAGGGTGCTCCCGCCAAGGCCGCGGCCAACTGGGTGATGGGTGACATCATGGCGGCCTGCAAGGAGGCCAAGATCGGGATGGAGCAGCTGGCCATGAGCCCACAGGTACGTCCAGGGGCAGGGGCGGGCGGGCAGGGCACTGCACGCGTTCGGGGTGCTGTGCTGGTGCGCTCAAGCAAACGTGTGACAGAGTGATTCACACTCACCGCCGTCAACCATGGCGCACCCTCACTGATACTTGGGCGAGCGGGGCGTTCCATCAGGGGCTTCTCACCCTGTCGTAAACAAGCACCAGCCTTAGAACTTCAAAGGTCTCAACCCACACCTTTCACCTCTTCAAACCCTGAACCCCGCCGCCGACCAACCGCACCGCCACCAAGCCAGGCCCTGGCGGAGATGATCTCGCTGATCGATGAGGGCGTGATCAGCGGCAAGATCGCCAAGGACGCCCTGCCGCGGCTGTTTGCGGGGGAGGGCAACGGCGGCGTGCGCGCGTTTGTGGAGAGCCAGGGGCTGGTCCAGATATCGGGTGCGGGATTGGTGTGTGCATATGTGTGTGTATATGTGTGTGTACATGTGTGTGTGTGTATACATATATATATATATGTGTGTGTGTGTGTGTGTGTGTGTGTGTGTGCACGCGAGTTCGTATGCGGGTCCTTGGGCGCCCCCCGCTGCAGCTCCCCGCCACTTGAGCTGCGTGCTCGCACACGGCTGGCTGCGCGCCTCCCTGTGCGTTTGATCGCGCCCCTCCTGGCATCAGCAGCAGCACCAACACTGCGCCGCGCCTCCCCTTTGAGCCGCCATTACCAAGCATCCGCCAGCTGCCCCGCCCCGTCAAGCAACGCACCCAACGGCCCCGCCTGCCTCCTCCCCGGCCCCCCCAGACGTGTCTGCAGTGGAGGCTATGGTGGAGGCGGTGCTGGCCGCCAACCCCAAGCAGCTCAACGACTACGTGGGGGGCAAGACTAAGCTGGCCGGGTTCTTCACGGGGCAGGTGCGAGCGGCTCTCGCGTTACAGGGATGAAACCATCTCTTCCCTTCGCTTTTGCGGGTGGAGGACACATGACGAGGCGGCCGCGTGCCCTTCCAACAGGGTTTGCATCCACCAGGGCACCAGGTCTGCGACCAAATCAACACAATGTGACAGTTGCACTCCTGCTCAACCTGGCCCCCTGAACGGTGCCAAACCTGCACCCTCGTCTCCCAACCCAGGTGATGAAGGAGAGCCAGGGCCGCGTCAACCCCGGCCTGATGCAGCAGGTGCTGACGGCAAAGCTCAAGGAGGCGGTCGACAGGGCGGCTGCGGGCGCGGCGTGAGGGGGCGCCTGGTGCAACCGCATATGATATTGCCAACTGCTGTGGGCACGGCTGCTGCTTGTGCCGCGGCCATTGCCGTCGCAGCCGCTGCCACCGCCGCCAGCAACTGCAGCTGACATGCATGAAGGCAGGCTGCGCTGTTACCTCTTGCATGCTCTGACCATGCCTGAACAAGAGAGCAACCAGTGCTGCGAGCACCACAATATTACAGTTGAATTGTTGAGGCCAGAGTGTGCAGAATGGCCGCCAACACGTCCAAGCCAGCCGGATCAGCATAAAATTGGTGTTGTCAGGGGTCAATCGAGTACTGCTGGGCCTGACAAGCCGAGGGTGCGTGGTGGGCGACGGCGTGCTGTGTGCACCGTGGCAGCGGGGCCCTTGCAAGAGAAAAACACAGTGCAGTGAGCGGTTTGCTGAAACTCCAAGTCCAACTAGTTTATCATCACCAGAAAAGATATGCGTTTCCTCAGCAGGCATCGCAGCCAAGGCGTCAGCAGGTTCAATTGCAGGAGGCAAAGTAAGGGGCCCGCACAACGCGCAGAGCGCGCACGCGGCGTGCCCGCACCCCTCAGTCCGCTGCTGCAGCCGCCTGTCATCGTGCCGCCCCAAACACGACGTCGCTGCGCAGCACGTACTTGGTGCCAGCCAGCACCGCGGCCCCCTCGTGCTCCAGGCACCTGGGGTTGGCGTTGTGTTCAAGGGGGCGGCAGGGCGTGACACCCAACAGCAGAGTGAAGTGTGGGCAGAGCAGCACAGGCCGCCAGCAGGAAGAACACAGCCGAGGTTCCTGCTGCAACCCAGGGACGTACGACTCGGGGTGAGTTCATGCAGCCCCACACTGAACAGCTGCTCCTGGGTTTGCGGCCCTGGCACAAGCCACTGCCACAATGCGCCATCACACGCCCCAAGCAAAGGGATTGCAGTGCAGCGGGGTGCGCAGAGCAGAGACGCGCGCGCGCGCAACGCCGCGTCTACCCCCCCCCCCCCCCACACACACACACACCTGTCTTCCCCGTGCAGGTGCAGGAGGGCCAGTCCCGGCTGCGGCGCCACAGAGGCCACCACGCGGTTGCGGGCGCCTGGGGTTGGCGGTGAGGCAGGGGCGCGGGCTTGGGGCGCGGGTGTGGCCTCACACGCAGCGGGCTGGTGCAAATTCAGGGGGCGCGCTTGCGATGCTTGTCGAAAGGCGCAGCACACCATGGGCATCCGCCGGAGCAAACGCGGGTCTGCCGGCCGGCTCCGGCGTTGCAGGCCGCCTGCCCTCCTCCCCCTTCCCCACCCACCATAAAAGACTGTCTCTCCACCGTGCAATGCCTGCACCGCGCTTGTGCAAGGCGCAGCTGCTGCTTCGTGCTGCTGCTGCTGCTGCTGCTGCTGCTGCTGCGGTTGCTGCTGCTGCTGCTTGCCCGCCGCTGCCCGCTTGGGCCGCCCGCTGGCCGACACCGCCGCTGCCCGCTTGGGCCGCCCGCTGGCCGACACCGCCGCCGGCGATGCCGCCGCCGTCGCAGCAGGTCCCGCTCCTGCCGCTGCCCCGCCGCTACCGCTGCTGGTAGCAGTGGGGTCGCTGCCTGACAGATAAAGCAGCAGAGTGTAGCGCGTGACCCTGCCAGGCGCCAGCTGGACGCTGTCGTCGATGTGCTTCCCAAACTTCTGTCCCGCGGCGTACCTGGGCGATTTTGTAGGCGTTGGTGGTACCGTTCAGTCATTTCGCGTGCACATCTGTGCAGTCGTGGACGTGTTGCCAGTGCATTGGAAGGGGAAGAGGCAGAACGCGGCTGTTGCTGTGTGCAATGACCTGTGCTGAAGCGGACAATGGCCCTCTGTCTGTGCGCATCGCAGCGTCGGGCCCCGGCAGCAGGGCACCCGCACCTGTAGAAGCGAATGTGGGGGTTGAGCCCCACCGCGGCCTTACCCTCCACTGTGATGCCCTCAAACACGGCCGACAGCCTGAATGGGCGGTCGGGGGTGCACGCAGGCCCGGTGCGTGACACAGGCGCCACGCCCAGCTGCCAGCACCCCTATCGTCACTCAACATCCGGGTGAGACCCGAGCTGGCAAGTTGACGGTGCTGCGCGTCAAGTTCAGCGGCGCTGCGCCAGTTGGCGCGGCGCCGGCACTCTCCTGCGCTTGCAACCACCCTTGTGCTCAACTCCCCCCCCCCCCTCGCCTTGCGTCGCGCAGACCCACCCTCCCGCGTCCCAGAGCTGCGCGGCGAGGGCCTCGTCCATGAAAGCCAGGCGGTCGTTGTCGCGGAACGCCTCGCCATAGGCCGCCCCCCTGCTGCCCTGGTGCATAAAGACGGCGCGCTCGGCCGCATCGATGAAGGCCTGCGCCTCGGGCACGGTCAGCACACCAGGTACCTGCCGCGGTGGACCGGGCCGTGGTAAAGGGCCCGCGTTGTAGGTATAGGTACCCTTGCTGATGATCTAGGGGTTGCCTGCTTTGCTGCTCGGTGTGAATGCCGCACTGCAAGGGGCTGACTCCAATGCTGCCGACGTCGGGCGCGCAAGCCTACCAAGAAGAGATGGTCCCCCACGCCCAGCGTCTGGGCCTTCAAGGCGCGCTTCTTGCTGAGCTTCGGCCAGTCTGTGTATCAGGGCAGTTGGGAATGCTTCAGCGGCCCTTCGCAAAGGAGCGGTAGCAGCAGCACGAGCTGCGTCAGCTGCAGCGCGCTGTCAGGTGATGCGCGAACAGGCGATGCGCACCTGGCGCCCGCTGGCAGGACGCAACCCGGCCCATGGATAACAATGTGACCTCTGAGTGCCTGTCGGTCGTTGGATCGCCAAACCAGAACAGGACAACGACGTTTTGCAACGGAACCAGGCGTCTGGTGCAGCTTATTATGTGTGAAGCGCACCAAGTGAGGTTTGTACCATGCGGTATCGTGAAAACAGCGATACTCGAAGCTCACGCGGGTGTCACCCCGATCTCACCCAGCCGTCACAGTGGGACCGTGGCATCGGTTGGAAGCCACACTCAACTTGTCATTGTGCGTTACACTAACACCGCTACAAAACATATCAGCACACAAGTTTATAAATCGGCAAGCTTACAAGCAGCATACGGTCCCTCATTTGCGAAATAACTCGGCGAGAGGATCTTAGCAGACCAGTCATAGGAGTAGTACAATCTCATCATTCTACATGGCGCAGCAGCAGCAGGGCGCCCTGCCGCCGTCGGCGACCGAGGTGCTCGCTCGCCCTGGCCGCCGCCGTCGCTGCGTGCTCCGCCGCCTCCTGCGCCGTCGCCGGCCCGGCTCCCTGTAAACAACCCGGCTACTGTCACAGCGTTGCATGCATCTGCATAGACGTCGCCAACGGTGATGCAAGCAGCAGTAGTTACGGTGTGTGTGACACTGCGCCCCCCCCCTCTTTTGACCTCCAGGCCGTCCTAGTGCCCACCGAAACCCTCCCCGACGGCCCCGTGATCCGCGGCTACGACTTCAATGCGGGCCGCGACCTGGACGGGCTCATGGGGGCGCTGCTGACGTCAGGCTTCCAGGCCAGCGCCCTGGGCCAGGCCGTGGTGGAGGCCAACCGCATGGTGGGTGGGGGGCAGGGTGGCGACAGGGAACTTGAACAATGCAGCAGGGGGGAGCCGAGAACTTTGGGGTTGGGCAGCTGAGAAGGGGGGGCATTTATTCCTAGGGTGCCCTCAAAACCATAAACACATGGGTGAAGGTGGGTGTTGGTGTTGAGCCAATTGAGGGGTGGGCCAGGTCCACACGCAGGGTTGTGGGGGGCGGGGGCAGCGTGGCGGACGCCAGCCGGCTGAGCCAAATTGGTGTGCGCGTAGCCTTGGCGCAGCGGACAGCCCCATGCAAACAATCAGGCTGCGGGGGTGCCGTCGGCACCAGGGGGTTGCTCAAACCCCGTGACGCCGGTCTGTTGCAGGCGCCACGCCGCGAGCTCAACCTCCTTCTTCTCCTCATCAACCCGACGCTCAACCCCCCTCCCTCAAACCCCGGAACTGCCACCCCGTTCAGATTGACTGGCGTCTGAGTGACGAGCCTGTGGGCCCCTCCACGGACCCCGAGCACGCTGACCCGGCCTTCAGGGCCGCCACGCGCACCAAGATCTACCTCGGATACACCAGTGAGCGGCGCCATCGATGAAAGGGGGGACCGGGGCACGGGCAGCGGCGGCACGAACCCGTAGCGGTTTGTGGTGCCTGCCTTGCTGGGCAGGGGGAAAGGGCTGCGGCAGGTTTGTCAGGGTGCATGCCTTTTTGCATGCATTAGCTACGGCGTGTGCATAGCTGGGGGCTGGAGACGCCCCCAGCCCTGCAAGGGGCTGCGTGACATGAGGCAGCCGGCGCCATTCCATCCCTTCCGTCGCCTCGGTTGCATCGGCAAGCACCATGGCCTCACACGGCATCACCAGCACACGGGCCGTCCTTTGCCAACACCGCTCCAACCTCAAAGGACCCTTCGTGCCCCGACCCCTCCCAGGCAACCTGATATCTGCAGGTGTGCGAGAGCAGATCCGGTTCCTGGTGCAGCACTCGCTGGTGGACGTGCTGGTCACCACTGCGGGCGGCATAGAGGAGGACTTCATAAAGTGCCTCGGCAAAACATACATGGGGGACTTCCACCTCAAGGGTGGGGCCCGGGGGGGGGGGC